CACTCTTTTGTTAATCTCCCTTATTCTCTCGATACGTTCTTGAATATTTAAGCCAACCTGGTTGGTTAGATGCTTTAGGATGTGACCTATAACAACATCTATCATAACTCAATAACCATAAGGCTACCTTTGGTATGTTGGATAAGGAAGGGTAAGGGGTGAGTAAAGCACTTTATCCTACCTACCCAATATTTAGGAGTGAATTTTTTTATGGTAGGGTGAGACATTATCCACTCTAAGTTGGGTAATGTTGTTTATCTAATAAGAGGTGAATAAGATGGCAGTGACTTAAAAAGACTAAAACTGCCATTCATAATTTTTTTTAAGGACCGGACCATTGTTCCCTCAAGTCTAGATGCATGTTAAGCGAATGTATGGAAAAAGAGATCTATGAGGCCTAAAATTTAAGCTTACCTTAAAGTGAGCTTTTGCTTTCCAGGAAGAGGGAGAAATGGCGGCGATGCTGTTGTCAGGGTTGTGGATAAGAAACTCAAAAATTGATTTACTAGTGTAGACCCCTGAAGAGTTAAAAGTCCACTCTCTGATACCAGGCCTTCAAGTGAGGGAAAAATCCAACAGTATAAGAAATATCAAATCTAAGAATTCTCTGTCATTAATGCTTCTGAAGAAGAAAAGACTCCAAACCATTTGATGATAGGAGTGATTAGAATGGAGGGAACAGGAGCAGGATTATTTATTATTATTCTTTTGATAGGAAAAGAATTTTATCAAGAAATAAAAGTGAAAAATGCAAAACCAGTGGATAAGATATCCAACTGAGAAATAAGCTAAGAAAACAAAGAACGCATAAAGCAATGCCTAGTGCATAGGAACCATGAGTCATCACGTGATTATTCTCTTCCCAATTCATGTGAAGGATGGTAAGGGAAATATCTGAAAATTGTCGATGTGCCTTGGCCCATAAAGAAGCCAAAAAAGTTATTTTGTCCCACAACATATCAATGGGAAAAGATCGATTATCAAAAAGTCAGTGATTTATTTCCAACCAAATATCCATAGGACTATAAACAACACCCCTTGGCATAAAGGTCATGTTGTCTTCCGCACCCCAACTCTTCCAATGGTAGAGTGTATAAAACATTCCAATAATGGAGGTGTTATCCAAGGAAGGCTAGAAGTGTAAGACAAACTCGTCTATGACCTCCATGTCACCTCACATTGAAGGGAAAGATGATTATGTGTTTCCCCTCATTTATGGCATATCACACATATGTCTGGAGATGAAACTCGATTAGGCTCTTTGTTGTTTAACTGATATAGAATTACGGTCCGCGCAAACACCTTCATATTTGAAGGAACCGTGACTTACCAAAAAGACTTGGAGGAAGGACCGTGATAACAATTAGTATGTTTGGTGATGTGGTTGAAGAAAGATTTACAAATTTGTCCCCAAGGAATCTAGAGTCCAAGCCCTTGTATTTGGTTGTTGGGATGGTTGGGACGATCCTAAAAGGCATAATAGGGTGATGAGTTCTTCTGTTCTCTATCATGCAAGTTAAGAAAGAAGTGAAAAATCCAACTTATTATCATTGGCAAGGGAGAAAAACTAGTTGGTTTTAAGGCTTTATAGCATGAGAAAATCCAAAATAAGAAGAAATGTGTACTAAGGGAGCAATTACTCCTCCAGTGGTCCTCCCAAAAGAGGACCTTGGAGCCATCTTTCACATTGTATCTAATAAGAGGAGTAGCATTATTTCAAGTGGAGATCTACATGGTAGGAAAATAAAAGGTGAGAAGTATCTTTCCCACCTAGTGATCCCAAAAATGAAACTGGATCAATCCCAACATTTAAGTGGAGTAGTGAGTGAGTCATTTCCTTTTTCTATATTGCAAGTAAAAGGTTCAAGGTTATAAATGCCCCCCACCAAAATGCTTTGGATTTATGCATTACCGTAGTAGGTGGTTTTCATTGTTCTTTTTTCGTTGAAAACCATGATCTGCTAAAATAGCATGACACCATCTACCAATAATTATTAACCATTTTGTACATTTAACTATGGCTATTGATGAATACTTGCATAGATGTGAAAATTCATAGGATTCTAGATATGCTAAATTTAAACATTGTCTTATTGCTTTTGTCCTGTATCAACTTTAGTTTGCTTTGCATTATGCAATGTTGCATAGAGGCAGATATGAGTAAATAAACCTTTATTATTAGTTATTTTAGTTCATTAAGCAAATCTTGTCATTGATTTTTTTTTATCATTCTATTTCTTCTTGTGCAGATGCTTGAAATTCCTACTATTGCTGTTATTGAAGGAGCAGCATTGGGCGGTGGTCTTGAATTGGCTTTATCGTGTGATCTTCGAATTTGTGGTAGTCTTGAACTACGAATTATTGTAGATTGAGAGGAAAAGCAAATAAAAGTATTCTAGTTTTCATTGTCTCTTATTTTTTTCACACATTACAAGGTCTCCTACTTATAGCATGAGGAGTTCTTATACAAAAGAAAACTAAATATACCAAGGATCCTACAAATTGTCATAGTTAGTTATTTCCTATTAATTACAAATCTTCCTAATCAACTATTACGTATTAGTTACAAAGATATTCTTAGAGACTAAATTGAAAAATAAATATTAAAAATCTAGACCAAATATTTCAACACTCTCCCTCAAGTTGGCATAAAGATGTCTACAATTGCCAACTTGGGAAGTAAACTGTTAAAAATATTTCTTGCGAAACCCTTTAGTCAAAATATATGTCACTTGATTGATAGATGATAAAACATACAAATGATTCCATTATCAATCTTCGATCTTATGAAGTGCTTGTCAATCTCTACATATTTTGTTCTGTCAAAGGAAAAAAGATTGTGGGCAATAGCAATTGTTGATTTGTTGTCACAATACACTTTAATCGTTAATGCCATAGAGATCTTTAATTCTTTAAGAAGTCTCTTTAACCATAAAACTTCACAAATTTCATGAGCAACAAATCTGTATCCAGCCTCCGCACTACTTTTAGCCACCACATTTTGTTTTTTACTCCTCTACCTCACCAAGTTTTCTTCCACAAAATACAGTATCTTGATATTGATCTTCTATCTCAGACACTTATAGCCTAGGCGTACAAGGTGCAACTTTGTGGAGGAGTGGATTGTGGGAGACTGCACTGTTAGTGGCAATTGCAGTATGAGAACTGAGGCCAGTGCTTTTTTTGCCAACCTGTATAGGGAGGAGGAGAAGACGAGACCCCACATTGACAACTTGCTTTTTAAGGAGCTTGGGGAGTGGGACTTATCTTAAGAGGGAGTTTTCTGAGGATGAAATATATAATTTGTCTTATGGAATGTAATGGTGATAAAGCTCCGGGTCTGGATGGTTTCAATATGGTTTTAATATAATTGTCTTGTAGAGATGTTTGATGACTTCCATAAAAATGGTTCTTTTGTGAAATCTTTGAATGTCACTTTCTTGGTGTTGATTGCCAAGAGAGTAGGAGCCAAAAATATTAGAGCTTTCCGATCTATTAGCCGGGTGGAGGTGTATTTATAAACTGATCTCTAAAGTCCTTACAAAGAGAATGACTAATGTTTTGAGCTTAGTGATTGGGGAGAATCAACATGTGTTTGTAGAAGGTAAACAAATTATAGATGTTGTGCTTGTGGCAAATGATGTAGTAGATGACTTGGTGGGGATCAATAAAGAGGGTATTTTATGTAAATTGGACATGGAAAAAATATATGATCATGTCAGTTGAAACTTTGTTGACTATATGTTGGGGAGACTTAGTTTTGGCAAGAAATGGAGGCGGTGGGTTAGGATGTGTATAACAAGCACCACTTTTGCTATCATAATCGATGAGGGGTCCTTCATCATTTTTCAGGCATCCCGGGGCCTTAGACAAGGCAACCCACTATCACCGTTACTCTTTATCATTGTTATGGAAGCTTTGAATATGATGATTGATAGAGCTAAGGAGGGGGGGAGGAGGAATCAACAGCTGGAGGTGTCTCGCTTTTCTTTGCAGACGACACCATGATATTTTGTCAACTAGATATGGAGATAGTGATGAATCTGAGAGCTATTTTGCTATGTTTTCAAGCTGTGTCGGGCCTCAACATCAATTTAGAGAAGTCTGAAATGGTTAGAATAGGGAAGGGGGCGATGAAGAATACTTTACTGGTTTACTGGGATGCTGTACGGCCAAGTTGCCCTTAAAAGAGTGGTAGGCTTACACTTGTAAAAAGCACTCTATCTAATATTCCTATATATTTTTATCGACTTTAATAATTTCGGTAAAGGTTGCAAAAAAATGGAAAGGATTCAATGTAAATTCTTTTGGGGGGGTGATGATAATAGAAGGAGATACCACCTGGTGAACTGGATGAATGCTAAAAAACCATTGGATCGGGGGGATTGGGTATTAGATCTTTGGTGGAGATGAATCGGGCTTTACACAGTAAATAGCTTTGGAGATATCTTAATGAGGAGGATAGGTTGTGGAAGAGGGTTGGGGAGGCGAGGTGGGGCTGTTGGAAGGGCAGTGACTGTTGGGGAGGTGGGGGGTTCGTTTGGTACTGGATTATGGAGAAAAATCAGCTTGGAAGGGACTATGTGGAGTGAGTGTATTAAATGGAAGCTGGGTAGGGGTAACAGTATTTTCGAGAATCTATACTGTTGCACAAGAGAAAGAGATCACGGTGGAGGAGGCGTTCAATCTCGGTGAGGGCGGGGGGAGTTGGAATGTGATTGTAACCAGGAATTTAAATGACTGAGAGGTGGAGGAATGTGAGAATTTACTGCTTCTGCTGTCCAAGGTGAATGTTACTAATGATGTTGACAAGCTGATTTGGAAACTCAAGAAAAATGGGGCATTTTCAGTAAAATCCTATTATGAGTTCCTCATGGGGAGGGAGGTAGACAGAATTGCTTTCCGTCTAAGCAGATCTGGAAAATCTGAGCTCTGCCCAAGATCGCAATTTTTGCTTGGGAGGCCAGTAGGAATTGTATATTAACTATTGATAATTTGATGAAAAGAGGAAAGATGATGGTTAATGGCTGCTGCATGTGTAAATGCCAGGCTGAAACGTGCAGCCACCTACTGCTTTTTTGTTCGGTTGTCCAGCATATTTGGTCCATGATCTTTGGACTCTTGGGGGTGAATTGGATTATGACTGGGTCAATTAGGGAGGAGATTTGGGCATGGGAGGAGATAGGGTGACAGGAAAAATTTATTGGTTAATTCCCTTAACTGTTTTTTGGGTTATTTGGAATGAAAGAAAGATGAGTGTCTTTGATGGTATTGATAGTAATTTGTACAAGATTAGAGATAGATGACTTCATTTGTTTGGGGCTTTGTTAATTGGGCTCAATTTGTATTGGGTGGATGATTTTGGGTGTATGATAAATTGTCTTACTAACATGTAAATACTTTTGTACTTGGGTAGCACCCTCTTGGTGCTTTTGAAATATATTTATACTTTTTATTTAAAAAAAAACACTTATAACATAATTTGTATCTATATAAGTCTCTATCTATAGGTGACTGTGATACGTAAAGAGTAATCCTTTACCAGAAATTTTCTTTAGGTGCCTAAGGATTCTATAAACTGGTTCAAAATGACTTTGGCTTAGAGAATGTGTAAAGTACGGTAGAATGTGTAAATTGACTTAACACCCATATTGCAAAGGTAATGTCTGTTCGAGTCTATGATAGGTAGATTAGTCAATCTACAAGTCTTTGATACTATTTTTTATTCACCATGTCCTTTACTTCAGCAACTTGTAACTTTATGTTGGATTCATTGAGAGTCTCGACTAACTTGCATCAAAGTATACTGGTTTCACTTAGTAGGTTAAGGACATGCTCTGATTTATAGAGATTTCTTCCTTTTTTTTTTTTTTGAAATAAAAAATAATGTGTATATTAATAAGGTACTAAAAGGGGATACCACCCCGTAAGCAATTTACAAAGTAGTTAGTATGTTAATGATATCTCCAAAATCTTCATCCCTTACAATATTATGACCCAACAAATTAGACCCAAAATAGTTAATCCACTTATCTCTTAATTTATACAACCCTAACTCTTTCCCCTCAAAGACTTTAGCATTTCTTTCTTTTCAAAAAACAGTCAAAGGAATCAAGTTGGCAATATTACATTTGTTTATCAGCCCATCCCAAGCCCATATTTGCCCCCTCACAGTCCCAGAAATCACTCAACTAATACCTAAGAGCTCATAAATAATGCTTCATAAGCTGTGGGCAACAGGACACCATAAAAGCCGGTGATTACAAGATTCCTCAGCACACATGCAAAGAGAGCATCTGTTAACAATAATCTGTCCTCTCGCTCTTAAGTTGTCGAAAGTGAGCATCTTTTCCCTACACGCTTCCCATCTAAAGAAAGCCATTCTAAGGGGCACTTTAGTTTTCCAAATTTGCTTAATAGGAAGTTCCAGACTTCCATTCTCTTCCCCACCAACCAGGAAGCTGTAGTATGATTGGACAGAAAAATTACCCATTTTCTCAAGATTCCACAGAATCTTATCTGGTTCTTCTTGGATACACTGTTTCTCCGTGGTGATCAAAAGCTCTTTATTCTCTTTGATTTCCCAGTCATTTAAATGTCTATTAACCCTAACGGACCAATCAACACAGCCATTACAAAGTCTATATGCATCAGCCACCGCCAACCCTTTCGAATATGCAATTTCAAATATTCTGGGACACAAATTCTGTAACCTATCCTCACCAGCCCACCTATCTTGTCAAAACCTGATTTTGTCCCCTTTACCCAATATCATTTGGTGCAGGAAAGGAATCTTGGCGACTGTTTCATAATATTCTTTCCACAACCCACGCCCATGAGGCCTGTAGCCAGGCCCAGCCCAACCCGATTCGGGCCCACCCCAACGAACAAGCACAATTTTCCTCCATATTTAGTCCTCCGTCAAAAATTTCCAAAGTCATTTTCCTTGAAAAGCCATGTTCATGTAGACTAGAGATCTTATTCCCAAACCACCCCTAAGAACCAGTTTTTTTATCTCCTCCCAACTAAACCCAATGATACTTCCTATGCCCCTCATCTTCTCCCCAAAGAAAATTATGTTAAATTGTTTCTAGTTTCTTTTTCTTTGGAGATTGTAAGGGTCGAAAGGTAGTAGATGGGAAGGTTGGCCAACGTACTTTTTATTAAAGTGAGACGCCCACCCTTGGAAAAAAAGTTCCTCTTCCACCCAGTAAGTTTATTTTCAAACAATTCGATAACTGGATCCCAAGTGCATTTGTCTTTAAATTTTGCACCCAATGGTACCCCTAGATATTTCAAATGGAACATCATCGATTTGCAACCCAGGACCTTAGCATAGTTGCTGCCATCCCCCTCACCCCCGGTCCTGGCCAATTCAGATTTTAACAGATTAATTTTTAATCCACAAATAGCCTGAAAACAGTGGAGAATGCATCACAGATGTAAGAGGTTTTTGATATCCGGATAGCAAAATATGAGGGTGTCATCAGCAAAGAACAGATGTGTAACATCAAGAACATTCAATCTTTTCTCAATCTTAACGCCTTTCAATAAATCCATCCCTTTGGCCCTGCACAGTAAACCATTTAGAGCCTCCATTACAATGATAAATAGTAACGGGGAGAGAGGATCCCCCTACCGTAACCCACGGGTCGCAGAGAAAAATTCAAATGGCCCCCCATTCACAATCACAGCAAAGGAAGTAGTAGAAATGCAAGTTTTCATCCAACCTCTCCATTTGGAGCCGAACCCCCATTCTACCCAACATGTAATCAATGAAATTCCAGCTGACATGATCATATGCTTTTTCCATATCCAATTTGCATATCAGCCGATCTCTTTTGTTTGCGAATAAATCATCAACCACCTCATTAGAGGCCATAACAGTCTCCAAAATCTGTCTCCCTTCAACAAAGCATGTTGACACTCCCCTATAACCTCCCCAAGAACACGAGAGAGTCTTTTCACCAACACCTTTACAATTAATTTGTACATTCAGCCCACCAAACTGATCGGTCTAAACTCACTGAATTCATTAGCCCCCCTACCAAGGAAATACTTCCTTAGATCAGGCAAACTCTATACCAAGGAAATACTTCAAATTTCCTGAATCTTTAATCTCAAAATCCCCAGTTAGCTTCTTTAGAGTTTCAATTTCTTCAAAATCATCTTCTGTGAGGATTATATCATCAATATAGAAAATAAGCACAACCAACTTACCAGATCTTGAATGTTTATAGAACATGGAATGGTCAACTTGACTCTGAGAATATCCATATCCTTTCATTACTTTCTTGAATCTTTTACATTAGGCACTCAGGAACAGTTTAAGTCCATATAATGATTTTTTCAATCTACGAACTTTTTTTTTCTCCCAAGGTTTTTTCAAATCCAGGTGGACGATCCATAAATACTTCATTTTCAAGAGTATTGTTTAAAAATACATTTTTTACATCAAGCTAATATAAAGACTAGTTTCTTCCTGCTCCTATAAAGAGAAGAACTCGAATAGAGTTGATCTTTGCCATCAAAGCAAACGTTTCTTTGTAGTCTACTTTGAAGTCTGAGTAAACACTTTTGTTACAAGGCGTGCCTAGTATCTTTTGTTACTCCCATCATTCTTGCATTTTATGGACCCACTTACACCCAAAAGTGATCTTGTCTCTTGGTAAATCAACAATTTCCTAAGTTCCACTTTTCTTGAGCGTATACATCTCCTCCTTGATTGCTAACCTCCAACCCAGGTTACTTAGTGTGTCCTGAAATGTTCTAGGGATAGAGACAGCAGAAGTAGTCGATAAAAATGCCTTGTGTTTTTTAGAAATTTTTTTGGTAAGATAGGTACTTTGCAATAGGATGTTTTTACAAGATCTAACTCCTTCTCTAGTGGCTATAGGAAGATCTAAATCAGTGAAATCTAAGCTTTGTAAAAAAATTGAATCAAGTTTTGGTTTTATCTGTCTTTATTTTCTCTTTTTTTGTCACACATTACAAGGTTTCCTACTTATAGCATGAGGAGATCTTATACAAAAGTAAACTAAGTGCACCAAGGATCCTATAAATCTTCCTAGTGCATTATTCCTTGTTAATTACAAATCTTCCTATTAATTACAAATATTCGTAGTCAATTATTGCCTATTAATTGCACAAAAATATTATCAAAGACTAAATTGGAAAATAAATATAAAGAATCTATACGAAATATTATTTAACCAAAAAAAAAGAATCTAGAGAAATATTTCAACAATTATATATGACTGTACTTTTTTTCTGTCTTAAAATGCAAATTTTCTTTCTTCTATTCGTAACTTTCTTTTGCCTCAAATTACTCAGGAGAAGATGCAGTCTTCGGCTTGCCTGAGACAGGACTAGCTATAATTCCAGGGTGATGATAATGGCTTTATAAAGTTTAACAATTCCAGAAAGCCTTCAATCTGCAAATTTTCCTCTTAGTTTTCTTGTCTTGCCTTGTTTTCCTTCCTTGGTCAAGTTAAGTGATTATTCTCTTTCAAAAAAAGTTGAATGATTGTCTTTTAATGGATTTTTAGCTTTCACCAGGGCTGGTGGCACAGTAAGACTTCCTAGATTGTTGGGAAAAGCATTATCAAAGGAAATTATTTTTACTGGTCGGAGGATTGGTGGCAGAGATGCTATGTCCATGGGTGTGTTGATCATCCAGAGTTCTATTATTCACCTTCCTTCTTCTGTCTCTACTACTTTTTCCTGTATTTAGTAGCAAATTGTGACATACTGCAGGTCTTGTAAATCACTGTGTCCCTGCTGGTGATGCTCGATTGAAGGCACTTGAGATTGCTTGTGAAATAAATGAAAAGGTAGAAAATATTTCCTTGAAATTCTTTTTGCATTGAAGATTATTTTCAAGTTCATGAATAATCTCTTTTGAACCAGATCATTAAAAAAGTGGTGGCATGTGTTGGCAATATTACTTAGTTTTATGTCAATTTATTTCAAGTTGGTTTAGAAACAATGACCCTCTAACAGAATGCTTAGGGTTAAATTGGTAAGCAAGTTGTTGATGTGTTAGGAACAACAAAGTAGTTCCTTCTAAAAGTGTGCCGAAGAAGGAACAAAAAATAAAATTGGGTAATATGTGTATAGACTGTATTATCTGTGTAGAATATTATATTTAAGGGTGTCAGTGTTAAAATATATAATTTTTGTGGGTAGTGTAGGTTGTTTTTGTAACATGGGAGAAATAAATCTTGATAAAGACAAGAGAGGTAGTTCGAGCAATTCTGCAAATTTAATTCCAGACTTAAACTGCTTCCAATAATTAAAAACAGGCTGTCTTCTTGAAAACAAATTATGCATGGACAAGATAATTAAGTGGAGTACTTTTTTACTCGAGACATTATAGGGTCTCTCTTCCTAACAAGATATTAATTCTAATCTAAAATAGGTGAAGTCTGAAAATCTAAAAATAATTTTTTTCTTCCTACTGATTCTATGTTCATTGACCCATAATAGATCCATCAGTAGGGACCCTAACATGATGTCTCATCCTTTTCTTTTGTTAACATAGTTAGGAGCCAGAAATGACTGGTTGAAACCTTACACAAGCTTGGGACAGCCAAATAAGAGTACTTTGGTTCCAAGACTAATAGTATCTCTTATTTTATCTCAAAAAAAAAAGACTAATAGTATCTCTTATTATTTCCGAAGCAAAGACTATAGTTATTTCAGTTGTTTTAGATTTTCCATGAAAATCCCTTATAAGTCTTGTTACGGCCCATATAATTCATGTAACTTAGTAAGTCCTTGTTACAATCATACTTCTGTTGGATCAATCTTTGCATTTACTTATCCTTTCCAAAAAAATCCTTGCGTTCACACATAACTAAAAGCCATATGACATGTTACTATAACAATCCTCTCTATCATATTTGACGCTCAGGAATTACATCCCATACTTTAAGGCTAACAACCAGTGTCTTTGAATCATTTACCCTGGACATTTTTCTAGTTGCAAGCCATCCTTCTTTAATGTCCTTAAGGTCTCATTAGTTCTGTGATGTTGGAGTCAGCTGGAAATTTTGTCTTTGCTATGCTGCATAACATCTTCTATCCATTACCTATGATGCAGGCTAAGGCCCTTGGGAGTTGGCACTTGAGAATTTTCTTACGTGGTTGACCCACATGGTTAACTCATCACCATTAGGTGCCGACTCATCATTTCATCTTCATTCCACCTAATTATTTTCTTTAAGCTTCTGTAGGCTTTTTTTACTGTTTTTGGCTGTTGAAGGAGTTAATAATTGTAGCATAGTTCATGGGAAGCTTAGTAATTCATTTGTTAAGATGTAGCTTGAAAGTGCATTTGATACTTTATCATAGAAAGTTTGTGGTACTAGATGGCAGATTTAGGGAAAAATATAACTTAAAAGGGTCAGCAAGATGAAAAGCACAATTGAGAAGAATAAGAAGTGGATAAACATGGAATGGATGGGTGTTCTTGGTTTCTCTGTGGACTTAGTGAATAAGTGATTTCTTTATGGGGGAGGATTAGACTGGCTATATTGATGCTTGTTTTAGTTTTCTCACTTTCTTCCTTTTTTGTCTATGATCGGAGGATTTGAAGTCTTCCCATCTTGTACCTTCTTTTTTTCTTATAAGATTTTTTTCTTTTATCACGAAAGAAAAGCATAGACACAATATGCATAACCGTCAATCAGGCATAAATGCACGATATTCCTGATCCTGCCAGCTACATCTCCTATACCACATTGACAAATAATGCTTGGCAATTTGGGGTATAACAAATTTTGCTTGCGGCATATATATTGAAGAAAGACAGCACTTGAGTCTTCAATTTTTTGTTTGTTTTTTTTTTTAATTTTCTCAATCATTAACAGGGTCCACTGGCAATAAAGATGGCAAAGAAGGCTATTAATGAAGGGCTGGAGACAACTACAGCGTCAGCATTGGAATTGGAAGAATTTTACTATCAGCAACTTTTGAACACAAAAGATCGTTTGGAAGGTTTAGCAGCATTTGCTGAGAAACGGAAGCCAAGGTACAGTGGTGAATAAAGAGTAATGTAAGGTCACCAATGTTCATGGCCAAAGCGTAATTAGGCATGACTTGTTATATCTTACAGCTATTTAGGCTCTTAAATTAATTTATGGGACCCTCTTTTTATTATGACAATAAAAATCATTCGGAAACCTTTTGGAGGCTGCAATGATTGGAATATCTTTTATTATAAAATGATAGAATAATCACCTCTTAATGGGTTATTCTCTTCTATTGCTGGAGATCTCACAAGGTTGAGTATCAATGAAAAATATTAGCATAAGATTATTGCATGGTTCTGTGACAGGATCCACTTTATCAAGAGAATAATTTGTGTTCTTTACAGAAGATGTTGAGTTTATTTATCTATGTCTAGTACAAGCTGGTCACTGTGATGTATCATCCCTTCTCTGAAAACCATGTTAATCGAATAAGGTCCTTCTAGGCTCTGTCTGGTCAAAACCTGAATAAGTAAAGGGCCTCGAACTTGAGAGGTGGCTCAGTCACACAAATTATCAAATAAACAAAACTTAACCACTGGAGGGGCATTTTGGGCTGGCCCAGGAGTGCAAAAATGGGAAATTTTCATGAACTAACTTTCTATTTTGTTCAAGAAATTCATTGGTTCTTTTTAATGTGCCCTTAAAACTACCAACCATAGGTAGAATAGGGAAAAACTATCAAAGACTAGAAGTTCTTCGAATTTTATCCTCCAAAGATCCATAACAAGATAACAATCTAAATGGACATAATATTTGGTATCGGAGCAACTGTAACAAAATTAGTAGTTGAGGCCATTTTTGAAGTGTATTAAGAAGATAGAGCACATGATCACATAGAGTGCAACTAGGTAGAATCACTCCATTCTAACACTGAGACTCAAGTGGAGGCCCTAACATGTGATCTCTTCGGCTTCCTATTGAGCATTTTAAACCTACAAATAGTAGTGGGGTGTCACGAATTTTAAGACATTGAAATATTTGTTCTATGATATTTTAATTTGTATTTTTATTGTTACGACAATAATATAAATTTATTGAAATTGTTAAATTATTATATTTTTTTGTTATTATCGAGTGACACATAAAATAAGTCAATCTTATTTTAATCTTTTTAGAAAAAGATTTTTAATTTTGATCTTTTAAACTCAATAAGACATACTTGACATATCAGCATCAAAAGTTTGTTCCAGAATCATGTGATATAAATAAATAAAACTTTATTCTTTGCTAACCTTAACCTAAGTAAAACGTGACTTCTTTGCTTTCTTATTATTGATAAAGCATGTTTGGAATTGATTTACTGACTATTTGAAACTACATATGGTTTTCGATTCAATTGTGTACAGTTACTATCCTCAAACTCCTTTTCGAAGGATAGAAAAAATTTTTTGTAGAGTGTGATCTTTGTTGTTCTTCAAACTCTATAGTAGTTTTATAATGGTTTAAAGGAGTTCCATATAATTTTGTCTCGTCATATTAGTCTAACAATGACAATTTAAACTTTAATATAACCAAATTTTTCATTATAATTTTGAAGAAGAGGAATCGTTATTTTAAACTATAATTTTGTATATTAAAATTAATTTAAAATTTTAAATTAGAAAATAAATAAAGAATGAACTAAATACAATCTAAATATATATGTATATATTTCTAATTAAAATTTTCATAATTAATATCTTTTAATTATAACTTTAATTTATTTAAAAATATATACTTAATTTAAGTATGACATATAAAGATTTTATAAAAAAATAATAATAATAAATTTTACTTAAAACTTCTAGATAAAATAATATATTTAACTTTATCAAAATTAATAGTTTTAGTTTTTTATTTTCTAAAAAATACTAAATTTATTAATTTAAATAGAATGAATTTCGCCTATCATTTTATTCCAAAATTGCCTTGTCATCGGCAGATGCATTTCGCTTGGTCGGTTAACGGTGGGGCGAATCTTGCTTAGCTGGTTAGTGTCAATCCAATGTTCCGCAGGACAGGTGAAGTTTTGTCGTCACTATCCCCCAAAACCTATATATAAAGCAACGTGGAAGATAAACGGTCGATCACATTCTGCTGAAAACCCAAACAGGTTCATTTCATTTCACTTCCTCGAGAGTTGAAAAGTATGGCTACTGTAGGCCAAACGCCTTCTGCTAAGAGGTGGCTTCCTCTCGAAGCTAACCCCGATGTCATGAACCAGGTAACCCTAATTCACTCCTCGAAATTTCCTCTAGTCTAAACCGACGAAATCCCTAGGTTCCATTTGATCTTCTTTCGATAATTCTTCCGTATTTGCTTATCCATTTTTGAAAATATGTGTTTGATAATGTCTCTTTATCTGATACTATTTATTTATCCACTTTTGAAATGATTTTCTGGTTTGAAGATTTCGAACTGATATCAGTGTTACTCTCTTGTTTCTACTTTCGTTTTCTTTTACTGTTTTAATGAAAAAATAAATGACATCAGATACAGGAGAGAGACTGTTGGCTTCGTTTACTGGTTGTCTTCTTTTCCAAAAAAAGTATTAGATTTTTTTTCTTTCAATACTGTTTGCAAAATAAATAAAATTGTATTGTTCACATATTTCAAACAAAGGTTTAGTTGTATTTGATTGGCAAGAGATATCACGATTCCTAGGAATGTAAAGATCGTTTTTGTGCTTACTTCGCCATATTGATTAATACTGCTTTTGCGATTTTTCATTTCAATATTTCTTTACTTAAGCCTTAGGTTGAATTTTTCTTGTTGAAGAGTGATGTGAATGCCAGTTTAATATAACATTGTTTAATGTTTGATGTAGTTCCTTTGGGGCCTGGGTCTTCTACCAGATACGGCCGAATGCTATGATGTATATGGCTTGGATGAAGAACTGCTGGAAATCATTCCGAAACCTGTACTTGCTGTTCTATTTCTTTATCCTATCACCTCAAAGGTTTGTTTAGTCAGAACTTGTTCCCTCCTGATTTTATTTCGGCATATGGGGGGTTGTTGTTGATCTTGAGTTCTCAATATCCCATTTACTTGTTATTCATGGTGAGGACGTCTTCACCTGCTAATTTGCATGAAATTCTGTTTTTTTTTCTCAGACTGAGGAAGAGAGAATACTGCAGGAAAAGGAAAATGAGAAAGAGGTCATTCCGATAATACTTTGGATCTTTTTTATTTTCTGGGACTTCCTGTTCTTGTTTCCATTTTTTTTCTTGCACATCATGGAAGGTTTCTTGCAATTATTCAATTATTAAGTGAGTTTTCAAGATTTTTAAGCCCCATTAGGTCTGCCTGGAAATTCTTTTATGCAAATCTAACATTAGTGCTGAACCAGAAGCATCACCGAAAAGTGAGATTCTGTATAAATTTTTTATTAATCTTGCTATAAATCCATCAACCACGTTCCCCCAACAAAATTTTGCTTAAGTTTTTGCAATCCATCTATAGAGTTTTTCCCCTTGCTTATCTTGGTTCCCATTGATAGAGTGCTTGGTCATTTTCCACCATCTATAATCAAATTGTAATAAAAGAAGCTGTATGAGCTTAATGTTGCTTGAACTGAGAATATTTTATTATCATCAACATGTAGTGCAATATTGCATCTCATGAAAATAATCCTGTGCTTTTCATGTTCCTTAACTCCTAGTTGTAAGGTATCGCATGATATATTTTGTTCTACTTTCTATTTAGTTTTTCCTCAAAGAGTGTTCTACTTCAAGGGTGCAGTAAATATACTATATTTAGTCCACTTACTTTGGCCTCTGCCTTTAGGATACTAGCAGTAGGGTTTACTTCATGAAGCAAACAGTGGGGAATGCCTGTGGTACAATTGGACTTCTTCATGCTGTTGGGAATATAAAATCAGAAGTAAAGCTTGGTAAGTTGTGTGGATTCCTTACTTTTTTCTGTCAGGTGCCTAGCTGGTATATAATTGTCTTAATGTTATGCCCTTAAAAAAAGGTATACTTGTCCAGAGCAAGCTTTGGAAATGTTGTTCAAGTCTGGCACAATAATTTGTTGTCCTAATATTTTCCTTGTGCACCAGTCTGGTTCTGGAAAAAATTTACGTCTCCAAGCTTGGGCTGGTAGCTTGGTTGACTAACTCTGATGCTTTTCATCGACATCCTTCATAGATGGGATTAAATAAGTTACATGGCACCTCTCTGCCACAGGCCCACTACCTGGAATATTTTTTGAAGAATAATTGTAGCCTGGAATAAGCTATGTTACAAGCAATAAGATGTCCTGTTAGGATGTGTTAGTGTCTGTGTGGAAACACAAGGAAGATATATTGCAAAACTTTATTTATAGAATATTTAGTCTAGCAAAGGTTAAAAATTTTGGTACCGGAATAATACCTTAAAAATTGCATGCAAGCCTCAGATAAAACATATAAAGGACAGACACAACCATGAAGAAAGTAGGAATAAATACAACCTTAGTTTTATTTTGAATCTTCTCCCTCTTAAAAATGCGAAGCTGACTTTAGCTTTGTGAAGATAACTCTGCAGTTTGCAGGTGACAATTTAATGCTTCGTTCTATCCTTCAAAGATGGGATTGGTGCCAGTTAATTCATCAATGGGAGGCTTAGTTCTAAGGAATTGAATAAAGCATTGAATATCGTTTCTCATGAGTGCATTTGAAGTTAATGTTATATGCTACCAGTCTACCACAGGCTGCCAACCTGGAAAATCTTTTTTAGGATAATCATAGCCTGAATAATTTATCTTAGCAAGCAACGAGATTTTAGCCTTTAGGATGCATTAATATGAAAATGCAAGGAAGATAGATTGAAAAACTTTATTTGTAGAATATTTACTCTAGCAAAGATTAAAAGTGTCAGAATTGGAAATATCTTAAAGTTTGTATGCAACCCTTTGGTAGAACATTTTTTTAAAAACAGAAAGTATAAAAGTATATTAAAAAGCATTAAGGGAGTGTCACTCATGTACAAAAATTACAAAGTAGTAATCATTTCAATGACATTCTTAAAATCATCCATCATGTATATGTCATGACCTAAGATTAATGAGCTAAAAAGATGAAACCATCTATCCCTAATTTTTGCCCACTCACCCTCTATACCATCAAGAGCCCTACTATTACGTTCTTTCTAAATTACCCAAAAGATAGTCAATAATATAAGTTTTACAAATTTTTTCTTTTTACATAAACCCTCCGAAGCCCACAATTCCTCTCTCACTGACCCAAGAATAACCCAATTAATGCCAAAAAGATTATACACCATAGTCCTTTTGGTAGAACATATAAATAACAGAGACAATGATGAAGAAGGTATGAGCAAATACAACCCAGCTTTACTGTGCATCCTCTCCCTCTTAAAAATGCGAAGCTGACTTGACATCATTTCCAGCCGCTATGCAGTTTGCAGGTGACAATTCAGAGCCTGATGTCTTCACAACATTCGTCACTGTTTCCCCTTTAAAGAGAAACAAAAAGCAGTGGGATTTAAAATGAGTATCTTCTGGATATCATGATCTTTTGATCTCCATATGCTTTCCAAGCTGCTCGTTGTATCTTCACATATAATTAAATGCATGGAACTAATAATTTTAAGGGTGTGGGAGAGATTTGATTTAAGCTACTTCCGTGCCACGGAGAGTATCATTGTTGTTATTATCCAATGCTGGTATAGAATGGTTGGCGTAGTGTATTGCTTCTAGCTGGGTCATGCATCCTGGAAATCCATAGTCTTTATGAACCAAATGCTATATTCTGCTCCTTAGTGGTGTTAGATAAATTTGTTTCCATTTCATTCATTACATTTTCTTTTCCTCTTTGGCTTTCTTTGTCATTTTCAGTTGAGGGATCCTTCTTGGATAAATTTTTCAACTCCACTGCCAGCATGAATCCACTGGAGGTTCTATTCTTCATTTCTTTACTCTCTCTTGGATTCTGTATTTTTCCTGCTTGTGTTGAATGTTTCCAATATATTCCTGTAGAGGGCAGCATATCTTGAGAATGACAGAGAAATGGAAGTTGCTCACTCAGTAGCAGCAACAGCTGGTGATACAGAGGTATGTTTTAATCATTTTGAAGACGGGATGTGAAGATGGCAGGTCTTCTGTTTTATATTTCAAAGGATATTAATAACTTTTGATACTGTATCCATGATAAGTGACAACTTTTAATTATTTGACCCTAAGTTACAGTTGCATCAATTTTCTATACAGAAATGGTGATGCAAGATGGAAGCAGTAAGTTTGCTTGATCTCATTCAAGCTTATGATGGTGCTTTTATAACACCCAAGTTAGACAAAGAACCTAGAATTCACTAGGGTTATACTGGATTCCAGTTGGAAATGAGAAATTCTAGAATCCACCAAAAAAGAAATTATTTATTGAAGAATATAAAATTTATAAGAGTTATCTACTCTGCAACTCATTGGGTTTACATATTTCTAGTGATTCTAAACCAAGCCTAGAAGAACAATGATTACAAAAAAGGAAATCCAATACTAGACTAGGTTTTTTTTTTAAATAAAAAATGTAAGACGTAATATTTAAGAATATAAATCATAATTAATCTAGAATATAAACCATAACTTCTGAGGAATATAAATTAAATAATACTAAAATATTACTTAAGAATGTAAATCTAAGATAAATATTAATAATTTAGATAATTAAATTTGTATTTTTGTAATTCTTCTCTTCATCATTCTCATCCACTTAAAGAAAACTCGTCCCTGAGTTTCAAAGAATTGAAGAATAAAGAAACTCGTCCAAAAAAGGTCTGAAAAGTTCTGTTGGAGATCTCTATCAGGCAACTGACTCGTGAGGTGGCCATGTTTTGTCCTGGGATGTTGGATGGTGGGATTGGATAGGGAAGAGATTTTAGGGAAAAGGATAGCAGAGTAAAAAGGAAGAGAAAAGGAAGAGAAAAATGTTAGAGAGGATCGGGTGATTTTGTTTGATTTTTCCCTATAATGAATAATCATTTGGATACCCAATTAGTATCATGCCCGCCTGGTACAGCCTTAACAACTGAATGGTATGGCTACAGCTGGAGTTCCAGCCTGTAATACCATCCCTTTCCTAATAGCAATTATCACCAAATTTCAGGAAAGGGAAAAGAACAATAAAGAAATAAGGAAATAAAGTAATTAGGAAAATATCATGTTAACGAACATAACTAACTGAGATACTTTGGTGCCAATTATTCAGTCCTGACAATCTCTTAGCTTTTTGCTCGTATAAGGAAAAAATTTTGCTAACAAAGACATTATTGAGTTTGATTAAACAAAGAAGGTAGGACAAACTCATAAATTGACATTTGTTTTCAATTTTCTTCTTGGATCACTACCAGTAGAAGTGATTTTATCTTCACATGAAGTATGTTGACTGATCTCAGGATTATCGTCACCAAAATCATGTTTGGGACCTATCTTTTCTACATCTTTGTCTCATTCTAGGCTTTGTTGCTCATGCGATTCCTCAACTTGTTTTTCTATCTTTTTTTCCACTTGTCGTTCATGGGAAATACTCTTAACATCTCCTTTACTGTCCTTTATAGGAGCGGGGATGCTATAGTCATGTGATATATTACCTCTTTGGTGTTATTTACTTTTGCTATCTGTTTTGTTCTTTTTTCTTTAGTTTCAATTGATAAATTGTCTGCTATTCTCTTTATAATGTTTTCCTCCTCTCTCAATAAAAACTTCTTTTTTATCAAAGAAAAAAAAAGGAAATAGTCGTATATTTGCCAATTCCCCCAACTAATTGTCTAGTAGGAGGTCTAGACTGCAAAATGTGTTGTTGTTTGAGACCATCTGAAGAGTTGGTTGATCGATCCCTTTCTAACTTCAAAAACCATAGGTGTGTTTTCTTCCAAAATTAAGCAAGTCATCCTTAATTCTCTTCTGTTGTAATATTACAATCCTGAGCAGCTGTCTAGCAGGAACGCTGTTCCATCATATCTTGGAACAAAAGGAAGGGCATCCATGGTTATCTGTCCTTCAAACCCTCCTTCTCCGTCTTCCACCATTCAAACTACCCCTTCTACTCTACTTTGGATTCTGACAGTATAGAGAGATCATGTCATAAATATCCAAATGCCCAGGTATCTTTTGTTGTGCAGCAAATGCTGACCGATCTTGTTCCCTCTCCAGTTGGTGTTAGGTTCTATCCTCCTGGTTTAATATCAGGGAGTCAAACTGCTGGAGCAAAAGATCCCCCAATATTCCCTGTTGTGATAGCAAATCTGGTTATAGGACTTGTAACAAAAAAATCAGAAAAAGGAACTTGCAGATTGCTTCTGCAATCTTGCTCCTTCCTGGCTTATAGTTTGGGCTCATTAACAGTACCCAGTGATGATCTTGAGTAAGAGACTGCACAAAAACAAAACTTGAGTTTTTATTTCTTCATTGCCATCTATTCTATCTAGACATACAACGGCCATAACTGAGGGACAAAAACTAAAACTGATAACTGACTTAATTAGAAACTGGTATAACTGAATATTTAAATTTTAAATTACAGTTGAAACTAAAAGAAAACAAATAGGTTAGAGTAATAGATTAGCCCATCTGCTTGTATTTGTTATTGCGGGCTAGGATATCATTAACATTTATTTTGGACCATGAAAAGTATGGTTTTAGGTGCAAAAACCAAAAGTTAAAGCGAGTGTTGAATTTTAGAAGAAAAATAATTTTATTTCTTACCTTTTACCTTGTTATATTTAAAATATTTATAGAATTCTTAACCTATTAATAGGGAAATTGTTATTTTAATAAATTTGTAATTACATTAAATTATCTAATTAAATAATAAAGTAATTTAAATAATAAAATAAAAAAATATCTTATTCAACATCTTCCATCAAGTTGGTGCTGGATATCTTTCATGCCCAATTTGTAGATCAAGTTGCAAACTAGAATCAGATATGTTAGGCAGCTGCACAGCTCGGTTCTGCTCAAAAAGGGCTCAGATTCGGCGGCTCGAAATTGGGTCAAAACCAGCTCAAAATTGACTCAAAAAGGGCTCGAACTCGGTTCGGCCCAAGTCTAATCTCGACTCAGGCAGATCTGCGCAAAGTAAAGATTGCAGCCAGAAAAGCTTTCTGTCGAGCGGCTCTGCGTGCAGCAAAGAAGAAGCTGGTTGCTCGGCACTTTGCGCGGCTCTGCGCACGGAGGAAGGAGAACCACTTTGCGCAGCTCTTCGTGCAGCTCTGCGCACAGCGGAAGAAGAAGCTGGGTTGATCGATTTTTTCACGCATCTCTGCGCACAGCTGAAGAAGAATAGACTTGGGGTTAAATGTCCTTGCGCGCGACTGAAGAAGAACTTGCTTGAGGTGAACGCGGCTTTGTGCGTGGCTGAAGAAGACGGATTCCAAGGCTCTCTCTTCGCACGGCTCTATGCGCGGTGGAGGCTGGCTACTCTCTTTCTTCCTCTGATCTGGCCTCTCTTCTTTTAATCTCCCTTTCTTTTGATCTGGCTCTTTCTACTCAGCCTATTTTGCTATTTTAGGATTTTGAAAAAAATCTTTTAAAATAGTTTTTATTTTGGCTTTGATACCATGTTGAACTTTAGGATAAAAAATAATTTTATTTCTTACCCTTTAAATTGTTACACTTAAAAGTATTTATAAAATTTTTAACCTACTAATAGAAAAATATTCCTATTCTAGTAAATTTTTAATTACATTAAATTACCTAATTAAATAATAAAGTAATTTAAATAATAAAATAAGAAAATATCCTATTCAACAGCAAAAAAAGAAAAAGTTGTCAGAATATAGCGTAAGATGAGATCAGTTAAAGCTTGTGTTCTATGAAAAGAAATTTGAACAGTTTATCCGCATGTAATGGGTGACCAGTATTTTGGCTCTCGTGGGAAATGGATAGGTATTGTTTTTCACACTAAATAGTGGGATTTTGTTTGGAAGAAACAGGACTGTTGATTTCAGTTCTTGCTACACAAGCTGCTCATTTTGTCAGAAAGGTTTCTGGTTTGGATGTGAGCAAGAACACAATAAAAACTGTTCACCTTCCTTGAGCCATCTTTGTGAATGGTTTGAATTCATGGATGATGAATGTTAGTCTGTGAATGGTTTTTAATGCCTAACACCATAGCCTGTGAACTTTAGATTAGTATTTCTGCATTTTGTTCAAATTCAAATATTAGTAAAAGAAGCCGAACCATTTTGGTCCACTGATCTGGACTCTTCCATTTGTTATCGGAGAGCTTGGTTCGAACATGTTGCAGCTTAGTCTGCCATAATAAAAAATATCATGTAGCAAAAAAAAAAAACAGATGTTAATGGAAGAATTAGGCTTCAGATAGTACATAAAAACATTTTTTAGTTTTAATTTCTAAATTTATATGTGTTTCATTCATAGAAACATTATAAATTAGTTAACCATGAAGAGAATAAGAGTAAAAATGATGATGAAGTTAGAAAAATTTTAAAATGTTGTTTTTAGTGTTTTTTCT